CATAAGACTATGAGTAATAATGTACACCCATGTAAAACAAAGATATTGGTTGCTACCTTAGATGTCTTGACAAGAGAGTTTCTGGGTGTTGCCTTTGTTGACTTTGGCATAGAGAGCTTCAATTCCAGCAGCTCCTTCTTGAGTGGAACTGTCCAAGTTCAAGTCTGCGTACTTCAATTCCTCCTCTTGTGATCCACGGTCTTGCAGCATCTCAGCGGCACTTGCGACATCACTTGCTGATGTCGAACTCTCCGGGGCGTGCCACTCTGGAATAGGTTTGGGGTGCTTCCTGATGTTAAGCTTGGCATAGACCATGCCGGCACTCTCAGGATCTTTTGGTCTGGCAGAAGATGGGGGCTCCAGGTTCCTAGGCAGACTCACGAATCCAGGCTGAGTTGTGGCTTTGTTGGTTTGCGGCGTCAAGGTGAAGTGGCGGATGTCACCTCCTCTCCTGTTAGGGATGGCGTACAAGTCTCCCTGGGGTTCTGATGAATCTACAAGCGTCAGATCTGTGGATGGTTCGGGTTGACCTCTGGTATCTTCTGGAAGATTTTCATAAGTTGGGTTAGTCTCTGCCAAGGCTGAGGAGCCAGCAACTCCCTCCTCCCTTGATGATGACTGAACGTTTCTGCCTTCCTCTCTTTGTGGTCTGCGATCCTTTCGGGCATTTCTGATCAGATACAGGGCGAGCAGACTAATGATGATCACAAGCAAAATGATCCCCACAATGGCCCCAATGATGAGTCCCAGTGACAATGTCTCAGTTGTGGTGTCACTGATGTCATTGTTAACAGAAGCAGTCATTGTAACTGCTTGAGCTGGGGCTGCTGTTGTTACAGAAACACGTTGAACCATCAGAGAAGCAACACCTCTGTAAGATTGTTGGTTAAGAAATGCAGAGCAACTTATTTCAGAGTTGTTAAATTCCATGGCTGATACTTGAAGAATTTTCAGCGTTTGACCATTTGGACTAAGGCTGTACAGTCCACTTTGGTTTGCTAATGCTGTTTGCTCAACTCTCACTGATGAGGGATCATCTTTGTTCACAAACCACACATATTCAGTTGGTGTCGCCGAGGGTATAGCTGTTAAATGACACGTGAACACTGCTGTTTCTCCTTCAAAGACTGTCTGTGAACTTGGTGAGACCGTAACATTTGTTAGAATGTTGAGGGGTATTATGGAACAACGAGGACTGGTCTCCAAATCATTACCGGCCACGCAGGTAAAGTTTTTCATGTTGTCGCTTTCTTGCAAGACCCTCCATACTGAAAACACATCACCTGGTTGTGTCATCTGTGAGCTTCCAAGCTGATTTTGAGTGGAATCCAACCAAGTTAAAAAGGTCGGAGGATCTTGAGGTGAGAGAGTACATTTTAATAGAACGTTTGTACCCACCCAAAAATGTTGGGGTTGCACCTGACATGTAGGAGTATGAGAAGGAGACCTGTTGACTCTCAGTATTGCCCGGTCAGAATCATATGTTGTTGGGTTATAATAGCTGGGAGAGTACATGCGACAGAAATATTCTCCACTGTCCTGTGGCTGTACATTAAACATCGTGAGACGATACTTAGTGTTACTTTCATCCAGTTCAACCATCATGCGATAGTTGAAAGGTTCCTCCACATTGTAACAATCAACGATGCGTTGCAAACCACCAGACTCGGTGGTCTTCATCCAACGTAATTTGGGTCGAGTGCAGCTTTCTGAATAGCTTGCAGTCATGTAGTCTGACCAGCAAGTCAGTGTCACATTTGTTCCCTCATAAACTGTCTGGTTGACTGGATGGAGTGAGAAACTTTCACAGCGTGCTTGATAGAGCACTGCTGTAATGACCAATGCAAAGAACAGCACATTTGGAAACTGCATGGTGAGCGGCGTCTGGAAGTTCCTCCTAACAGAGAAGTAGGGCATGAATCTCACAGCTGTTTTTATTCCTTCTCTGTTTTATGCTCGCGGTCTACTACAAAGTGTTTGCCCAAGAGCTGGTCACAAAAAAATTTGACACAGCAAAGTCCACATTATAATCGTTTTTTGTTGGTGAGAATTGAGCACCAGAGCAGACCAAGCTTTTTTGGTAAACGTCTGACAGATGCAGTCACTAATAAATGTTTCATTATTTTCCCACGACTTCCTCAAATCAAGACAATCCCTCACATGACTATTCCCAATACTTGACCACATACCAATGCTACTTCCTCGTTAATAATCCAGTGTTTGGTTAAAAAAAGTCTCTGGAGAAAATATAAATTTCCGTTTCCTTGTTTGGACAAGTGAATCATCTAAGTGTACTCTTAATTTTAAACTTTTTTCTTATACTTGTATGTTCTAAGCAAGAGCTCACGGTGAACCAGGAAAAATGTCTGAAATGTGAACAATGGAGTTGATGTTTCAGACATTAGGTCACTTTCTCACTTGGGTGTCAATCGAGGGGACATGTGCATTTAACTAAGAATCAATCAATCAATCAGTCAGATCTTTAATTTTTCCCAACACATGTACGTGTACATACAAATATGTATTTGGGAGGTACTACATGTATAACACTCTGTTTAAGACCGGTGTGAGTCTGGATGGGTAATTATCACCCATCCAGACTCACACCGGTCTTAAACAGACTGTTTAATACCGACCAAACACGTATTTATTCCCATTCATAAATTTCTTTTCGGTAAAAAAAAAACCAAAACAAATCTTTTCGGTCCAAAAATCAAAACAAGTAAAAAATTAGACGTTGCCAACTTTGTTCAATAATTTTACTTCATGTTTTACAAAACACCCCTCTGACTATAATATGGAATACCCCTCCACAACTCGTTATAAGAACATTGGCGTGCGTGTCGCGTGTACTGCCCGATGTCGCGCAAAACGCAGCTGGGCTGGTGTAGTGCGCATTTTGGACCATGAAATACTGATTTACTGGTAGTCAGGTAGTATTGCGCATGCATATGTGAGGAATGTGAACGTTCCACCAATGAAACGTTAAAAGGCACCAGATTTCATGGGAGTCCAAATTTCATGTGACACTGGAAAAGCGTTTAAGACCAGCTAGCCATGTCTTTATCATCCGTTTAAGACCGGTCACGTGACAGGCTCTCGACCAATAGGAGTGCATAAACTGCCTTATTTATGAATATTATTTAACACTGGAATAAAATTGCATCCACTTTTATGCTTCAGATACGCTGATGCATTTTAACTGATGTGATTCAGCTCTACAAACCTTTAGAGATGAAACTTTTCAGATTTTAATCTGAAATCAGATTTTAAAAAAATTTCGATGAAATTTCAGATTTTTTAACGAATCCACAAATATGATTGTTTAACAATTTTTCCACAAATTTGTTTTTTAATTAGAACTTCCAAGGAAAGTCGATGAAAATGGCACGTAAAAATGTGCACAAGTGTAAAACACCTATACCAACGCTGACCAGATCCTTTTCCGGCTGGAGAAAAGTTAAATACTGACCTATGACTAAGGCCAAGTTCGCGCAAGGACTATAGTTGACCAATGCTTAACTAACGTTTGCCCAAACTCTGTCTAGTCAACAGTGGTTGACTACGCTAGTCGACTATTTGGAACCAGCCTACTGGGGTTGGTTGCTTCGCTGGTAACCAATAGCCGTGCGCATTCATAACGCTAGCAGAGAGCCAGGATCCAGAAGTTTTGCGATGACATTTTGACCAGCGTTTGACTAGAGACGTTCGCACGTTGCTATCAGTGCGCAGGTGTAAGGTACGTCACAAATCAACCACTAGTCGACTAATGGTCCTTGCCCGAACTTGGCCATTGATGCGCTGTGCTGCACTGCACTGCGCGACGCTGTGGCATCTCGGCCCCAAGGTCCAATTTCAGATTTTTTTGCCAAAGCCAGTTTCATCTCCGAGTCCTTATACATGTAGATACCCTGACACGAATGGGCAACCAATGTACATGTACATCCAAGTCACTTTGATTAGAGTAATGACACATTGGGGAGGAGTGGTTGTAATCTAGAGGTAATCACTCAGAGGTTGGGGGGGGGGGGGGGGTATAAAAGTCAACATCCTCAAATTTACACCTTGGATCTAGATTTTGAATTTGAAATTCAAAATCTGAACTTGGAGGAGTTAAAAGTCAACATTCTAGTATTTTAACCTTAACGCCCTTAAGGCCCCCCAAAAAAGTCTCCGGTTTCTGGTATGGAGCTTGCCCAAAAAGTGGTGCGGCGACGCAGCTTTTTTTGTTTTTACCTGTTTTTTTTGCTTCAAATGTCGGCTGATGACTGCAAATGGTGCCCGACTAAACCTAGTGCAAATATATGGGAGTCCGGAGCGGCCACATAAAGCTTATTCTCGATCATAACCCCATCTAAAAACACGTTAAAATTGTGCAGCAGCGGGATTCCAGTCAAACCAGTGATTTTGGCGGTTTTGAGACATCATCTTTTATTGAAAAAAAACTTTTTCATTTTGCCGACAGGCATGGCTACGGCGACGCGCGCATACCAGAAACCGGAGACTTTTTTTTGTTTGGCCTAAGGTTACTTTGGGGTAAAGTACCACATACTAACTACTACAGAAATTATGTATGCAGTACCTAAATACTACAAAATACTAACATGAGTGCTGTGCCCACCTATATGCTGAAGTACTGCATGCTACAATTTAATACTAGTAGTGTTTTGTAGCTTCAGGTGAGGTTAGGGTTTAAAGTTGCCCTCAATACAAGGGAAGTAGGCAAGTCCATTACAATACCCTGCAAGTCCATCGCAAGTCCTCCAGTCCCATTTTAGATCACAAGCTTTTGGAATGAGTTGTGACACAGGGATTGTTCATCCATTGTTTTTTTGCGTGACTGGACTTGTGATTGGACCTTTGATTTACTTGGGACGGAACCTGTGATGGACTCGACTACAACCATGCTCAATAGATATCCAAAATATGTCGCCAACCCAGTTAGCTTGTCAGGAGTGATATTGAATGTACACCAAAGTAAAATGAAAATGATTGCTACCTTAGATTTCTTGAGTGGAGAATTTCTCGCCTTGGTCCTTGCGGCCTTTGTTGAGTTGGGCATAGAGAGCGTCGATTCCAGCAGCTCCTCGAGTGGGATGGTCTAGGTTCAAGTCTGCGTACTTCCAGTCCTCTTCCTCTTGCGATCCAAGGTCTTGGGTTGTCCCAGCGGCGCTTGCGGCATCACATGCTGATGATGAGCTCTCCGGGGCATACCACTCCGGAATGGGTTTTGGGTGCTTTCTGATGTCTTTGTCAGGCTTGGCGTGGACCATGATGGCACTTCCAGGATCTTTTGGTCTGGCAAAGGACGGGGGCTCCAAGTTGCGAGGCAGGCTCACGAATCTAGGCTGAGTCTGGGCTTTGTTGGTTTGCGGCGTCAAGGTGAAGTGGCGGATGTCTCCACCTCTCCTGTTAGGGATGGCGTACAGATCTGCCTTGGGTTCTGAAGTCCCTTCAAGAGTTTGACTTTCGGTCGTTGGCTCTGGTTGCCTGGCGGTCTGTTCTGGAAGGTTTTCATAATTCAGGCCAGTCTCACTGGCGACGGGATTTGACATGTCCACCCTCTCTTGCCTCAGTGAAAAACTTGGGTTTGTAACTCTCCTTGGACTTGGATGCTTCTGTTTGTTTTTGAGCAAGAGGTTTCTGAGAAGCACAATGCCGATGGCAAGGATAACAATGCCCAGAATGGCTCCCAAGACAGCCACAGTGGTATTAACTTGGGTTTTACAAGCACAAGTATAGTCAGGGAAAACTGTCGTCTGACCTTTAACAGTAACTGAAGAAGGGGTGATGGAAACAGTTGTTGGTGTGACTAAACAACTTGTGCCACTTTGGGAATCTGTACCGGCAACACAGATGAACTCTCTTGGTTTGTTTGTTTCGTGCAGTACATGCTCAATCGAAAGTGACTGTCCAGGTTGGGTCTTGTTTGAATCGCCCAGCGGGCAGAGACCGCTGGGTAGTTTTTGGAACCAGGTCAGGAGGCTTGGTGGATCATCCCGTGAGAGGGTGCATGTCAGAGAAATTGTTGAACCACTTGATTCATGTGAAGGATCTGGATGTGCTTCACAAGTAGGAGAATGCTTGGGAAGTTTAAGGTTGACTGTTAACAAGGCTGTGTTAGAGTTGTATGTTTCTTCCTCATCAGGGTAATAAAGTCGACAGAAATACTCTCCACTGTCTTGTGGTTGTGCATTTGCAATATACAGGCTGTACTGCTTCAATCCTTCACGTATAATTAAGTCAGCCGTCATACGTTCGTTAAAATTGTTCTCCACATATTTACAAACAGCAACACGTTCACTTGTATCGTTGTGTCTGGTGTACTGCATCCAGCGAAGCTTGGGTACTTGCTGTTCATTTTCACAAAGATGTTGTTCTACCGGTGTGTCATTCATTTTGTTAGACCAGCAAGTCAATTTTACACTATTTCCTTCATCTATTGTTTGACTTTTTGGGTGCAGTCTGAAGGATTGACACTTCCAGCACAGCATTGCAGTGAAGATGAAACCCAGAAGAGGCACCATCCTTGCCATGTCGATGTTATTAAAACTTGTTCAGAAAGACCACAGTAATACTGCCCCTTGTATTTGCAAAAGTCAGTCTGCCAATATGGTCCCAGACATTCACTCGACAAAACTTAGTGGTCGGTGGAGTATATAAACCGGTGCTGGTAACAACTTCTGAGCTTAGTGTCCTCCTTCACCAACAACATTTAAAGAGAATGACTTCTGCATGTTTTGCTACAAGTTAAAAACCCATCTGACTAGTGACATTGGAGCTAAACCACTTTGTCACTTATTTCCTCATTTGTATTAAACTTGGCAAGTTTTACTAATAAAAATGTATCTTTTCAGTCAAGGAAGTGGTAGAAAAATTCATCATAAATGCTGTCTAATTGTGGAATTGTGCTTCCTCTTGAAATTTGTATTGTTTGGTCTATGAGTACAACTAGAGGAAAACATCCAGACTTCCCCTTTGCGGTTTTGACAATTTAGGCATCGGATGATATTTTCATAACCACTTCTGCTTTGATTTAAAAAATTTCAAGTAACTATATGGGCCTTTCCACTTTTTAAAGAAGGGCTGTCAAAGCTTGAAACACATATATGCGATTGTGTCTTTTAAATGTAAAGTTTGAACAATGTTAAGAATTCAAATAAGACAATTTTCTTATCAACACCAAGGGCGGATCCAGAACACAATTTTAGGGGGGGCCAAAAAAAATTTGGTCCCCCCAAAAAGTGGGTCAAAAAATTACGGCGTGGGGTTCGGGGCCCGCTTAAGGGCCCCCAAAATTTTTTGGATTCTAGATGCTCTGTGGTGCGATCTGAGGCAATTTCTGACCACTTAAACCAATGTTTTTTGAGGAAAAGATGGTGGTGTAATCATTGCCTGCCTTTATTGCAATGTCACATAAAAAAATTTAAAAAATTGGTTTCGTTTTGGGGGGGCCATGGCCCCCTTTGGCCCCCCTGGATCCGCCTTTGATCAACACCAGTTGTATAAGTGCATACTGTAAAATGTTGACATATACACATTGATTCGTTAACTACTTGGTGACGGGATTATTTTTGCAGAAATTTTTTTTTTGCTGAAGGATTATTTTTGCTGAAAAACTTAGATTTTCGAAAAAGGCAAAATATAACAGCCAACTTTAGATATAAAGCCAAACGCCACAAATACTGATTTGCAAGAGTCATTTCAACAGTATTTGTACGGTATTTCTTACAGCAACCTCATATTTTTCAAAACTCTGTTGTGTGCCCCCTGAGCATAAATTGTACAATTTACAGGCCAGTGCACAGCGGCCTTGTTCAAGTTCAACACACAGTCTACCTTCACAGACTTCTTGGATTTTGTGTGTGTACAAAACAAATGGGGGATAAGCATGTTTAGACGTCATCCGGACGCAATTTAAGGCACGCTTGACATTTTAACCGTCCTGTGTATGCGGACAGCTAGATCGTGCTAACATGTCATCCGACACAACTGGTTAAAAACAATTTGTCTAATGTTGCTAGCATCATGACTCTCAGCGTGATCCCTTGCTGCACGCAATCTACAGGTTTATGGCTTCTGACTAATGCCTCGTGAAAAAAGACTGACAAAATGGGGGACCGCCAACATAGCTCTGTTGGTAGGAATGGTAAAATGGAGGTCGCAGGTTCTAACCCTGCTCCAGTCAATTTCTTTGTTCAACTTGGAAATCAAACTAAATTTCAAACAAGTGTACATGTATGTTTGTATCTTATCACTACTGTCGCCCATATCAAAATGTCATTTGAAGCTTTGTGTGGTGAATAGAATTTTGACCAACTTTTATGGCACAAGTTGTTTTACAAAATTGTTTCCAAATAAGGGGTGGTTCTAAGGATAGCCTGACCATAATCAGGAAAAAGGATGTCACACATCCTTTGAAGAAAATCACAGAGGAAACTGCATTGAAGTGTCAATTCAAACGAAAGCATGCATCGTCTATTGGAATTTTCATTTAAAAATAGTAAAGGTGGCAACTAAATCATTCTACATGTTTAAAGATAGATTTGCACATGCAGTCATCTGTGAGGTGTGTGCTTTTGTTCTACAGGGACGCGCATGGGTACACATTTCATTGTGAATGAAAGTACGCCTCATTGTTAATGAAGCACGCATGGGTACACATTTCATTGTTAATGAAAGCACGCCTCATTGTTAATGAAAGCACGCCTCATTGTTAATGAAAGCACGCCTCATTGTTAATGAAAGCACGCCTCATTGTTAATGAAGCAAACCTCATTGTTAATGAAGCACGCATGGGTACACATTTCATTGTTAATGAAAGTACGCCTCATTGTTAATGAAGCACGCCTCATTGTTAATGAAGCACACCTCATTGTTAATGAAGCACGCATGGGTACACATTTCATTGTTAATGAAAGCATGCCTCAAAGATGGCTGGTGAGTGCAATCCATCTATTGTGGTCAAGCTTTCTTCAGTATCTGCACATAACATCCTTCTGCAAGGCAGGATTGTATTTTTTAAAACATTGAAGTACAGTCAGACTGAGTACATACTGTACAGGTAGACTTACATGTATTGTCTACATGTATATTGATAATTTGTACATTTACAACTTTCAAATAACAATAATAAGGTCTCCAGATAAAAAAAAAATTAGGAATGATTCTCAAAAGATGATGAAAATGTAGGATAAAAGAGGAACAGTTTTTTTTTTTTGTAAAGTAAAAACCTTCTGACTTAAGATCAACATGCTAGAGTCTACACCCAAGGTTTAGATTTTGAATTTGAAATTCAAAATTTGAACTCGGGGCTACAAGTTCAATATTCCAGTATATTAAAGCTGCCCTTGCAACCAGGGATGTACATGTAGTCCATCACAAGTCTCTGTAAGGCCTCTAATCCCAATTCAAATCACAAGTCATTGTTATTGTTTGTCTACTGTTTCGTGTGACTGGACTTGTGACTGGACCTGTGATGGATTTGTGATGGACTCAACTACAGTACATCCCTGCTCGGGTAGGCCTACCCGGTATGTCACCCAATCAGTAGCTTGCCAAGGGTGGCACTGTATACCCAAGTAAAATGAAATGATCACTACCTTAGATGTCTTTGAGTTGAGATTTGTTGAGTTTGTCTTAGACAGCGACAATTCCAGCAGCCTCTTCTTGAGTGGGATGGCTTAGGTTCAAGTCTGCGTACTTCAATTCCTCTTCCTCTTGCGAACCAAGGTCTTGAGGTGTCGCAGCGTCACTTGCGGCATCACTTGCTGATGATGAGCTCTCCGGGGCATACAACTCCGGAATGGCTTTGTCAGGCTTGGCATGGACCATGATGGCACTTCCAGGATCTTTTGGTCCGGCGAAGGATGGGGGCTCCAAGTTGCGAGGCAGGCTCACGAATCCAGGCTGAGTCGTGGCTTTGTTGGTTTGGGGCGTCATGGTGAAGTGGCGGATGTCGCCTCCTCTCCTGTTAACGAAGGCGTACAGGTCTGCCTTGGATTCCGAAGTCCCTTCAAGAGGTTGACTCTCAGTTGTCGGCTCTGGTTGACTTGTAGTCTCTTGTGGAAGGTTTTCATAAATCAAACCAGTCTCAATGGTGACGGGATTCGAGATGGCTGGCCTCTCTTGTTCCAGTGAAAAACTTGGGTTTGTAACTCTCCTTGGACTTGGATGCTTCTGTTTGTTTTTGAGCAAGAGGTTTCTTAGGAGCACAATGCCGATGGCAAGGATAACAATGCCAAGAATGGTTCCCAAGATAGCTCCGCTGGGATCACTGTGATGTGCGAAAACTTTTAAAGAAGCATTTCGGTCACTTCTGTAAGTGTCATTGCCAATCACTGCCGTGCATCCTAACACAGAGTTGTGCAGGTCTATAGCGGACGTGTCCAGTATCTCAAGTACTTGGCCTCTCGGACCAAGATTAAAGTGACTCTTGTGAGTGAGCATTGTCGACAAGTCAATTCTAACTTCTGATCCATCACCTTTGTACACATGCCATATGTACTCAGCAACCACCGCCCCAGCCACATCCTCTGAGGTACATATGAAGACAGCCGTCTGCCCTTCAGTAACTGTGACCATTGAGGGGGCAATGGAAGTATTTGGTTTTATCTTGAGAGGTGGATGTCGATTGACTCTCAACAAGGCTGAGTTAGAGTTGTATGTTTCTTTCCTGGAAGAAAAGTATAGTCGACAGAAATACTCCCCACTGTCCTGTGGTTGGACATTAGCAATATTCAGACTATATTTCTTTGCTCCTTCATCAAAGTCAACAGTCATTCGATCATTGAAATCATTGTCCACTGTAAAACAATTGACAACACGTTTAGATTCAGTGCTGTGCTTGATGTACCTTATCCAACGAATCTTTAGTGATGACTGTTTACACTGACGTGATTGAATTTCATTCATGCGATCAGACCAACACGTCAATGTAACATTTGTTCCTTCATCAACGGTTTGACTTTCTGGATGCAGTCTGAAGGATTTACACTCCTGGAACAGTATTGCAGTGAAGATGAAACCCAGAAGAGGCACCATCCTTGCCATGTCGATGTTATTAAGCCTTGATCAGAAAGACCACAGTAAACTTTTCCCTTGTATAATTTGCAAAATTAGTCTGCCAGTATGGTCCCAGCCAGTCACTCATCAAAATTCAGTAGTCGGTGGGGTATGCAAACAACTTCTGAGCTTAGCCCTTCTTCTACAGCAACATTTATAGAGAATAACTTCTGTATGTACATGTATGGCTACATGTTAAATACCCATCTTACTAGTGACATTGGAGCTAAACCACTTTGTCACTTATTTCCTCATTGTATTAAACTTGGCAAGTTTTACCAATAAAAATGTATCTTTGCAATCAAGGAAGTGGTATAAACATTCATCATAAATC